CCGTCCCTAGGAAGGCCAGTACCTGGGTCTTGGTGTGGGGTGTGGGCCAGTTGGCTACGGCCTCAATCTTGGCTGGCTCCAGCTGCTGTTTCCCACAACCTACCCGGTGTCCCAGGTACTGGACTTCGGCCATGCCAAAATGGCATTTCTCTGTCATCCAGGTACGCACAAGCGAAATCCTGGAAGCCATCAAGGAGTCTGTCCACCAAGCGTTGGAAGGTAGCTGGAGCATTCTTCATCCCGAATGGCATGAGCTTGAATTGGTACAAACCAAACGAAGGCCGACTTGGGGACAGCCTCCTTGGCTAGGGGAATCTGCCAATATCCTTTACACAGATCGATGGTAGTCAGATATCTTCCCCTAGCAATGCGATCTAGGAGCTCGTCTACTCAGGGCATGGGATACGCATCGGTCACTGTATGATCATTAAGGCATCTATAGTCGACGCAGAACCTGGTAGTCCCATCCTTTTTGGGCACTAGTACTACGGGTGAGGCCCAGGGGCTGTCTGAGGGTTCTATGACTCCCAACCTAAACATTTCTTGGATTTCATTTCTCATCTCTTCTTTAACTGCCTCCGGGATCCTGTAAGGGGTCTGTCTAAGTGGAGTTTGCCCTGGGGCTCTACATAATGAGTGACTAACGTAGTGTATCCCGGCTCTTGGGAGAATGTTAATCCCTCTTCTGTCAACAGCTGTCTGATCTGTCCATTTTCTGCTGGATTTAAGCCCCACCAGATCGACTGCCACCCTACTAAAAGGCTCCTCGATTACTGGCATGGGTGACAGTCTTGCTTTCGGGTGGTCCCCTCGTTTCCCCACCCGTTGACATACGCCGCATGTACTGCAGTAGCGCCGCACATCCTTTGAGATCCCCGGCCAAGAGAAGGTCTGGGTAATCCGGTAGGTAGTGCGGTTACCTCCTAAATGTCCTGCCAAGGGAATATCGTGTCAAATTCGGAGAAGTTCCAACCGGTACTTCCTGGGTACCACTAGTTGGCGCTTCTGTGATGGAATACAACCTTTCTTCCTACCTTCCGTCAGTCTATACAGTCGGTCATTATCCCAGACAAAACGTTCCCGCTCATCCCCCTCACTATCTTTAAGTTCCCTGTACTTTTGGAGGGTGGGGACCGCCCTTGTCTCCCTCCCAAATGCTTTGGGGGTATCCCAAGCTAGGGGTCTCTCTACGGGGTCTGGCCTACGTGTCGGTTCTTGGCTTACCTGGGTCTCCCATCCTGGTGAAGGGTCGTCCGAAACACGTGCTTGGGAACGCATGGTCACGGGGCAAGTGGCTGCAGTGGTAGGTAAATAGGCTGAAGCAAGAGGGCCAATGTCATTGCGCAACATGACTTCAGTGGGCAAATTGTCCATGATGCCCACAGTGGTCTTCCCAGAGCCGACCCCCCAGTCCAAGTGTACCCGGGAAGTGGGTAAACGAAATACAGCTGCTCCGGCAACTCGGACAGCCACAGTGCAGTTGGACAAATGTTCTGGCTTTACCAAATGTTTCTGTATTAAAGTGATGGTTGCACCAGTGTCTCTCAAGCCTTGCGCCACCTGTCCGTTCACTCTCACCTCCTGTCGGTGATGCTGCTGATTATCTGGTGAGGCTGACTGTATCGGGTCCGCCTCATATAGAATACCCAGACATTCCTCCGGGCCCACCTCGGTCTCCAGGCAATGGGCGGCAGAGGTACGAGGTGTAGGGGCAGGGGTGCGAGGTGAAGCGGTTTCTGTAGGTGGTGAGGGGCGCCGCCAATTGTTAGCTGCCGACCCCAAAGGACAGTGGTGAGCAAGATGTCCGAGGTTGTTGCAGCGATGGCACGCCATTCTGGATACATCTCGTGGGTAGTTGTTGGACCCTTGAGGGCAAGGTGGTCCTGGGGGAACAGGAGCATGGAACTCCGGGCGAAAGTTAGTAGCTGGGGTACGTGGTTCTGTCCTGCTAGCAGGGCGGTGGGTACCTTGACTAACGTCTCTTGTTTCGGCGTATTCGTCTGCTAGCCGACCCGCCTCGTTCAGGTTGCGGGGTCGCCGATCTCTCACCCAGTCTTGTAAATCGGCTGACAAATCCTGGAAGAAGTGTTCCATGAGAAACAACTGTAGTACTTCTTCCCCTGTCTTGGCATTACATCCTTGAACCCAGTGTGAGGCCACTCACTGGAGGCGGTTGGCCCATTCCATGTGAGAGTCCACGGCCTTTTTCTTGGACTCCCGAAAACGGCGCCGGTAGGCTTCCAGCATTACCGCATATCGGAACAATATACTGGTATTGTAGTATTTCCTCTGCGGTGAGGGCCTGAAACGCCTCGTTGGCTTTGCCTGACAGCTTCCCGGATAAAATAGTGAACCATTGCTCGGGAGGTACTTGGTGTAGTGAGCACTGTCTCTCGAAATCAGCCAGGTACCCGTCAATCTCCTCCTCATTCTCCACAAACGCTTTGAAGGCAGTGAAGGGTACTTTCTTTGGGGTGGTAAGTGGAGGGAGGTCATGAACTGCATGTGTAATGTGCTGCTGAGTTCTTACCAGTTTGATTTCGTGCCCCCTCCTTTCCCGAATATCTGCCTTGGCATCGAGGAACAGCCGCTCAATCAGCTCCACTGATATCTCAGGATATAAGGCTAGTTTCCTCGGCACAATGCAGGCGACCTCGTCATCCTGGCTTGGCCCCAGGGGTTCCGTCACTTCCATCTCGTCCAGCTCCAGCAGATCTGCTATCAGCTCTCTCCGTGGCCTGTTACTGGCACTTCTTCCCCGACTCTCCAGTAGATCTTTTAGGGTAGGTCTCTTCAATTTGGCGTAGTGAGACTCCATCCAGCACCTGCGCTGTGGATGAAAGGACCATCCCACCGCTTCCACCAATGTAACGGCTACCCAGCTAGGGTGAGGGTATCACCCGTTGGGGACATCCTTTTCTTCCAGGCAAGTCGCTGCGTAGTGATGGAGCTGCTAATTCCCCTCTGCTAGATCCGAAGTAGAAGTCAGGTACAGCTCTGAAAAGAGCTTAGTGATTAAGCTGCAAAATTCCCCTTTCAAGAACGAGACAAGGCTACGTTTTGAAGGGTCAAGAAGAACTAAAGATTTAATGACAGACACTCTCTTTTATGTGATTCTGCCCATGCAAGGGAGACACCCACACAATTAACAGTACAGCCAATAAACACAATATACATTCTGTACATCCCCTCCCCTTAGATAACCACATAACATAATAAAAAGAAACATGTTTTTCCCCAAAGTTTGGATGTACCCCAAATACTTGTCCCCAGATAGCTTGTTTCTGGGGGACTAACATATTCGAAAATCAGCTCATTCGGTTCAGCCGTTCGGGAGATATGGGACTTGAAAGTTTTCACCAACCGCACGGGCAAAGTAGCCGAAACAGTTCCATGAATTCTGGCCCTGCAGTTGGTCTTAGTTCGTGTGTATAAAGTCCCGAACGGCTGGCCATCCGTATGCCATCTTGGGTTCGCTGGAATCCCCATAAGTTGTTGAGTCTTTCTAGCGAATGCCTTGTCGTTCGGTAGTTGTGGCATGAATTCCCGAAGGTATGGAGGTCTCAGCGGTGTTCGCCTATCCGAGTGTTCTATTTTAGTTCCAGACACTCGACGGCAAAACACCGCAGAGTTAAAATGGCCGTGAACACGTGGAAGTCCTGAAATGGCGGCCATGCATACAGTTCCTATAGCGTTCGTGCGTTTATTTCCACGAAAGGGCCCATCAAGCAGGGAGGTAAATGAGTTTCAATTTAGAGTCAGGGTGGCCTGTTAGTTGTTAGCAAGCATTCACATGGGGAATGCTTGTAAAGTCCCGAACTGCACATTAATCCATAAGTCTTTAATGAAACCGTTCTCTTTGTTACAGTAATGTAGGGAGTGAAGGACTAGTGAGGGCTGCATGTAAAGTTATTGCAGCGGAGTTGAGCAATGGTCTGTGAATTGCATATGAAAAGTCATGATGCTCTGGTATTTGATCTGGTTTTATTTATTTATTTTTATTTTTACACTGAGTGGTGTACTTAAATGCAGTATAATAGGCCAACATATAACCACCGAGCGACAGGAAGGCCAAAATTAGGTTGTAGCTGTAAGCCCTACTGTGACCATATATATATATATATATATCAGTGAAAGCCTAGTAAGATCCAGGTGTCAAGGTAAAGAAGTAAAAGGCCGAAAGAGCTCATTCCGATTCATGAGCAGCAGAGCAGCCATTAAAGGGCAGTATGAGAATTAGCGGGAGTATGAAGTAATATGATGTGGGTTGGTTAATGGTTGTTGAGCTGGGGAGCAGTTGCAATTTACACATCTGACAAACTCACTATTTTCCAGGTGTTTAAGACGCCTGCGTTGACGCCTGCTTCTTTACCCAACAAGAGAGGAGAGCACTGTTCGGTAGGATTGTTTGCCCGAACTAGGCGAACAATCGCTACCTATATGCCAGGGGAACCGTTCAACATTTCATTTGTTTCTGAATTCCCAAAAGTTACCAATCGCTACCATTATTTTCTGGAACTAATTTGGGCAGACGCCACGTGTGTGGTCGGTGAAAACTTTACCCTGGTGGCGATTCGGCTATGTTTGTGGGATCTGAGCGCTATTTAAATATGTTGGGCGCTCAGATCAAGGCTATCCGGGGATATAATGCTTCTGGGGGTTAAGATATATGCTATGTGTATTTTTAATGATTTTTTTAAAATATTTTGTAACTCTAGTACCTGTGATATAATTAGATTAGGCAAAAGCTAGCTCTCTTATATCCCAGACACATAGACACCAGGGCGGGCTTACTGTGCAAGTGAATGGTTAACATGTGCAATTCAGCTCAGTCCCAATGGAAATTCAGACACATTTCGAACATTCGAATGCAGTCCGAATGTCCGAAGTGCCGAATTGCTGAATTTCCTAAGTCCCGAGCTGAACAGAGTTGCCGAAGTACCGAATTTCTGAAGTTTCGAATTTCGGAAGAGCCGAAGTGCTTTGGACTTCTGAAAAGTGGCAAAACGGATAGGGGTAAGATTGGGGTTTGGGTAGGGTTAGGTGTTGGGGTAGGGTTAGAAATAGTGTTAGGTTCGGTTTAGGTTAGGAGTAGTGTTAGGGTAGGGTTATGGGTAGGGTTGGGGTAGGGTTAGGAGTAGGGTCAGGGTAGGGTTAGGGTTGGGCTAGGAGTAGGGTTCGAATTAGGGTAGGGTTAGGAGTAGGGTTAAGGGTATGGTTTGAGTTAGGTAAGGAGTAGGGGTAGGGTTAGGAGTAGGGTTTGGGATAGGGGTAGGGTTAGTGGTAGGGTTAGGAGTAGGGTTATGGTTACGGTTAGAAGTAGGGTTAAGGTACCTCTACCCCTAACCCTACTCCTAACCCTACCCTAACCATAACCCTACTCCTAACTCTAACATTACCCTTACCTAACCCTACGCCTACTCCTAACACTAATCCTACTACTAACCCTGCTCCTAACCCTACTCCTAACCCTAAACCTAACCCAACTGTAACACTAACCCTAACAATCCTAACCCTACCCCTAACCTAGCCCTACTCTTAAACCTAACCCTGCTACTAACCCAACCCTAACCCTAGGGGCGGGGCCGGGCCGCCGGGCCGAGTGGACGCCATTAACATGAGCTCCTGCACTAAGCGGATAAAAAAGGCACTAAAACACTCACCACAGACTGCCTAACTATGCTATACTCTGCCAGATTCAAACAGAGAACGGCACCAGCTTACCCCCGATACCTGCACGATGCACACCGCAAGCCAGGCAAGCAGAGAGGGCCGGGACCGGCCTACACGAGGCAGAGCACCAGAATACCGGCGGCCATTACAGGCAGCACGGCGCTGCGGAGCAGAGAACAGAGGCATCCCGCTATAGACACCTAGACAGGGGGAGATACGCGGCCCGGGGCACGGCCCTGCCCCCCCCCCTTTTTTTGGCCGGCGGGGGATATCCCGGCTTCCAGGTGGAGGCACGGGTCGCAGCGGGAGTCCCCGTGCGGTCCGGATGCCGACCGCCTGCACTGGCACCGGCTGCAAGACACTCAGCCAGCCAGCAACATTGGAGGTGCCCGCGGAGGGGCTGAAACACTCACCCGAGGAGGCACCCAGATCGGTGGCAAGAAGGCTTAGACCCACACGGGAGAGCACCATTCTGCGCCCCTACACTGGCAAAGGCTGCCAAGATGAGGCCCACCAAGAAAATGGAACACAGGGACTGAGGAGGCAGACACGATGGAGAACGTGCACCATGACAGAGGAGAAATGAGCTGGTGGGGGCCCAGAAGGTGAAGTGGAACAACGCACTCACTAGGGGGGTCTGGCATGGACTGCTCATACAGGCACAGGCGAAGCTGACGCCAGATGGAACCTCCGCGCTTACCCTGCACCCGCTGGAGCAGTGAGTTCCCCGGCATCTGGGTATGGGGGTCCCCGGAGAGCTATGTCCCCGCTGCCGTGAGCCCTGTGGGGCAGGAGTGTGCTGCCCTTCCGGCGGACCGGTGGCCGTGGGATACGTATACCGGCCCCAAGAGTGAGGCCGACAGCGGGAGAGACTTGGGGGAACACACTCTTTGTGGAACGACACGGTGTTGGGGAGGTGCAGGGGGCGGGCGGGCCACAGACTTTGTGGTGGGGTCGAGTGGACGGCCTCAGCCCTTGGGTGCCCACGGCACAGTGGAGGACACAGCCAGCGGACTGGAGTAGGTGGGGAGAGGACGGAAGGAGGTTCGGCAACCCTGGGACCGTGCTGTAGCAGAGGCATACCAGACCAGGGACTGTCACACAGGACGACATCCCATGCTAAAGAGCCCCTAAGGGCATAAGTCTAATGCCGTTAATTAGAGCTTGTCTAACCGAACTGCAACATAAGATACTCAGACTCTAACTTCACGACACAGCCTACATACTACACCAATAGCTACAGCTAGTATCAGATTGATAAGTAATATAGTGTCTATACTATTCGATAATTAAGATGTTTTAATGTGAATAAGTATATGGTTTCTTGCTTTGCATTGCCCCCTGAGGCATTTGTTCACTGATGTTGCATAATGTTTATTACACTATAAACGGTATAAAGCTTGCCCATAACGAAGACCTGCTCCGATTAAATACCTGAGCTAAATGGGCGTAAAACAGTTATTCCTAATACCCAAGTTAGAGTCACAATAGACTAAGCGCTACTTGAGCACATCACATGATAGGTCTCATGTACCTAATCACTCGGGGTATAAATCCACAAGGTAACACGTCGCCCTCATACACTCGCTGCATAATTACCTACAGATACTAATGCATATGTTGATTATGTAAATGCATGTACTGCAACTCAAACCAGAATATGTTCTCCACGCTACATGGCTTCAGCGGACATAGGCTGCATGTTAGCCATAGTAATCAAATTACTGGCAAACCAAATGCGAATATGGCATGTGGTACAACTTATATTGGAATTGTCTACATAATTACATAGGGTTACGTATACTGAAAGCTTTACCACAGGCTTAGTTAGACACAATTTGACCGCATAGTGACATATTAGGCCCCATCTTGAACTCAGCCGACGCAGAGGGGAAAAAAAACAAAACAAAAGAAAAACATATTTCAAGTGTACCACATTCTAGGGCTATAACATGCTATGATAAACTCATGTTTTTCCATAACAAATGCATTGTTTACGCTATATCCCCTGCGTGGGAAAACTGCTTAGTGTGTTGACCTCAATAAAAACAGATTTAAAACAACCCTAACCCTAACAATACTCCTAATCCTAACCCAACCCTAAGCCTAACCCTACTCCCAACCCAACCTTACTTCTAACTCAACCCTAACCCTACTTTATCCCTAATCCTAACCCAACCTTAAGCCTAACCCTACTCCTAACCCAACCCTAACCCTACCCCAACCCCTAGACCTAACCCTACTCCTAACCCAGCCCTAACCCTAATCCTAACCCAGCCCTAACCATAAACCTACTACTAACCCAATCCTACTCCTAACCCCACCCAGAACCCTAAGTGCTGAAGTCCCAAAGTGGCGAAGTCCCAAAGTGCTTAAGTGTCGAATAGCCGAAGTCCCAAATTTTGGAAGTGCCGGACTTAACCGAATTGACGAATTTCGGAAGTGCTTTACTGAACCAAACTGACGAATTTCGGAAGTGCCGAACTGCTTCAGACTTCTGAAAAGTGGCAAAACCAGGTAGGATTTGGGTTGGGGTAGGGCTAGGGGTTGGGTTAGGGGTAGGGTTAGGAGTAGGGTTGGGTTAGGAGTAGAGTTAGGGATAGGGTAGTGTTAGGTGTATGGAAAGAAGTAGGGTTAGGGTTGGGTTAGAGTAGGATTAGGAGTAGGGTTAGGAGTAAGGTTAGGGTACCTCTACCCCTAACCTACCCCTAATCCTAACCCTATTCCTAAACCTAACCCTATTCCTAATCCAACCCTAACCCTACTTCTAACCCTACTGTTAACCCTAACTCTAACCCAAACCTTACCCTACTCCTAACCTAACCCTAACCCAAACCTAACCCTAACCGTACTAACCCTAATCCGAGCCCAACCCTAACTATACTACTAACCCTAACTCTACTCTAACCCTAATCCCACTCTTAACCATAACCCTAACTCTACCCCTACTTCTAACCCTAACCCTAAACCTACACTTACCCTAAGTCCTGTAGTGCCGAATTTCGGAAGTCCCGAAGTTTGTAAGTGCCAAACCGAACCGAAGTACTTAATAGCCGATGTCTTGAATTGCCGAAGTCCCAAATTTCGGAAGTGTTGAACCGTACCGCCGAAGTCCCTTATTGCCAAATTTCGAAATGCCGAACCAAATTTCTTGCCCATGCACATCCCTAGTGAATGGAGACCCAATGCTGGGGGTCTGTGTATATAAGATGGCCACTGGGCCATAATAAATGATTCCTTCTTGTACCCTTCATCACGTCTTGCCTGATGTTTAAGTATACCAGAGCTATAATCACTGCTTTACTTTGGGACTCGGGAGATTTACAACGGATATACTCAGTCGGAGTATAGGGAATCTGTTACAACACATATTGATGCAAAATGGCAGACCTGCTCTAGATCATAACATGTATATAACCATTTTGACCGGTGACAGGCCTGAATGGTAGGACTGTTAATTAGAGATGATAAAGACATTTGAGTAACATGACCCTGATCGTAGTAGGTTGCCCGCTGAAAGCATATGTTGTGGAAGGCCAAGTGAGGGACTAATATAAATATATTGTCTCTCATCTCAGACTTAATAATTTCAGTGTTTTTTTTTTTTTTAAATATATTTTTTTTGTTGTGCCTTTTTTTAATTTATTTTTCTATTATTATTTATTATTTCTATTTTTCTATTATTTTTTTTTATTATCTACATGTATGCAGTTACCACACTGCTTAGCACACTCTCCACTTTCTTATGATAGTGAAGGCCAAATGAGGGCCCAACAGAGGTGGCCAAATGAGGGCCTAATGTGAAGTTATAGATATATAATAATACAATTGAAGTTTAATTAAACTTATTTGAGTAGACAGGTTGCAAGTTAGTATATTATTGGGGACATCCAAGTGACGGACCTGGTTCGTGGCATGTCTTGATTTAAAGTGTAAAAATAACATATTTAGAATAACCCTGGGGCAGGGCCTGACAGCCAAGATGGCCAGACGTGTTCTGCACTAGCTCCTGCATAATTGAGCATCAAATAAGCTTTTTAAGCTATATGCCACCCTGGATTCTGCCCTAAATGACTTGTACACTGTCTGGCACCAAGTGGGCAATCAAGGCTTATCAAGATGACCTGGGACATTTAGTACACACAGCGTCTGACAGTGAGGCCTAGTGTGTCCTGCAGCCAAGTGCCGAGGAGAAGCAGCCGCTCTCCCAGCGCGAGGCATGCTCCCAACCAAGTCTGCTTTGAAGCCCTGCAACTCACCCCCCCTTTGAACTGGTGGGGGTTATCACAGTCCCTGCTGGGGAAACTCAACTATCCATAATAGGGGAACCCCCCAATAAACAGCAGACAGCACAGCATGCCTAAAAAAGCTGCCGCAGCGCAACACATACAGCACCAAGAGAACAAACTCACGCAGACCTGGAGGGAGAGTTTCGAAGCCCGATCCGATAAGATCTGCCAGGAGTTTTGGGCGAAAATCGCAAACAGACCTATCTCCTCTACCCTGCACGGTAAATCTGCCCTCAAGCTCCAGAGCCGAGACTCCTACCACGCTCTGGAATGGAGAGCCACATGGGAAAAACCCTACCTAGCCGCCCACGTTCCCGATGAGTATCCTGGAGAGTTACCCAACATCGTGCTTGAGAACCTGCTGAGATCTGAAGGAAGATCCGTGATCCTGCCACTAGACACCCTCATAGGACTTGGACTTCAGAGAGCAAAGAACCCAGAGGCGGGGGCCTGCTTGATGCTCGCACACCAGAATGCATTTTCCAAACACAACATTAGGGCAAGCAACGTCATTATACTGAGACTGGAGCCAAAATGTATAATGTGGCCTATGCAAGATGTGGGGTGAATCCCTGAAGATTGAGACTCTGCTCTACAACTCTTAAATATAGTTAATCCTGTTTAAAGTGCAGGGATCTCCATACACTTCAATTTACTTATAACAAGCACCCAGTGGCATCATAACTTTCCTGTTAATGGTAGCATATTATACTGTACTATCACTATACTTCTTACCTAGCAACTACCATGCTAACTAGTATATTTTATCCATACATCTTAGTTAATCTTCCTGTCAGGAATCCCCTCATCTGAGTGCATTTCCTGTGTTATATCTATACCCTAACCTATATCTAAGCATCACATTTTAAAACAAAATGTGCAGACTACTCTCGACTACTCTAAGCACTCGTCTTTATTTTCAATCCACAACATATGTCACGGTTATTTTATGAATGTTCCTCTGCACTTCCAAAATAAAGAATTACAAAAATTTTTATATATATATATAAATATAAAAAATGTTTAGATGAGGGTCGTGGATATGGTCGTATAACCATAGAACAGACATAATTATGACCAACATTATTCTAAAGTACACTTGGCCAGGCCTGTACGGAGCCCAGAAAGGGCTTAAACAATGTAAGTAGTGATTGACAGTGAAATAAGATTAACAGGCAGTACCATAAATGCTAACCACATGTATAGGCCCATAAATTATAAAAATTTATACCGTCAGTTGCAACAGCTAGCCATATAACTACTAAATAATGTAGGCCCAACAAGTGCCTGAATACCCAGATGGCTGACATATAGAAAACATATAGGTACAGAGACTGGAAGAGGCCTTGTGAACATAAGTAACAAATGCTGATCTGCTCAAAGCGGACAAGTATAACCACGGAGGTGTGGGCCAACAATAATAATCTGCAAATATGAAAAAATAAATAAATGGCATAGCATTAATTAAACATTAAAATGCAGGGTGACTAAATGAAGTGCATATGATAAAATTGATATGGCTAAATAAAGGCGAATAAAGTAAGCAGAATGCATGAACTTAATTGAAGTATCACTATGATGTTATGTATAATTAAAATAGTACAAATTCGCGTTAGTAGTGAAAATCTACATATGAGAATGAGGGAAGAATACGGACTGAACTGCAAATGCCACCCTAGTTAGTGAAAGACTGAACATGGGGCGAATACATGTTGAATGTTTGGGACAGTGTGGCCCAATGTTGGTTTTCTTGTAATATAAACGCGAACAGGAAGCAGCTGTTTTTTTTGTTTTTTTTTAACTAGAGTGAGGTCAAATTAATACTTGCATGGACCACACAAGGCCAAGACCAGCTTGTTTGGAGTTTAGGTAGTTTGTGTTGATGACCTTTGAAATGGAAGTAGATGGTTCTGTACTGAATCAGTCGTTCTCAGCCCCCAGAGGAAGGGCAGGCCTGTGATTTTATAGGCCGGGTAACACCTCCCACAACTACTGCTCCACCTACCAGCTCAGCCTTCTGTATATATAGCGGAGATTCCTTGCACTCAGGCTGCATAAAAATTTAAAGTGCCGGGTGCATTCAGGAATGGTCACCAAATGTAAATATATCTGTAGGTAAGCTTGCACTCGCAGTCTTCTCAATGTTTAAAGATTCATACTTTATTGGAACAATTTAAAAATACAGATCGACTTTTCAGTCCCCGTCCAGAAATTTCATCAACATCAAGGACGGGTCTGAAACGTTGATCTGTATTTTTAAATTGTTCCAATAAAGTATGATTTTTTTTAAACATTGAGAAGACCGTGAGTGCAAGCTTACCTAGATATATATATATATATAAATATATATATAAACAAACAAACACACACACATTTTATAATTGCCCCCCCTACTTTTGTCCCTGTGTCCCCCTAACTATGAATGCAGTAGACACCATTGCTTAAATGGCTGGTGTCACATCTCCACATTGCCCTTCACCTCACAATAATCCCAACCCAGAAAATTTGGGCCAAACTAGCTCAGCACCAGAACTTTTACCTGTGATTTCCCCTAGATATTCTATATCCCACAATCCACTCTTCCCAGTTGGATTCAGGGATATAGCATTCCTTTCTGGACTTGAATTGAACCCTTAGCAATATAGTCCCCTATCTTTTGTATATCATGGCAATGACATCAAACCGCTATCGTACCTCTCCCAACATACCCAATGGAAACATTTCATAAAAACCCTTTGTTTACCTAATCTCTACACTTATTCCTTTGCTTTACCTTCCCTATCAAACAGTGAATCAACACCTCGATAGTAGACAGCTATCAAACGGAGTTGGTCACCATTTCTCACACTTCAACATACATACTGCCGTAAAGTCCTTGAATATATGTACAATCCCTGTACGATATATTAAAGTATGCTCTGACTATGTTTTTGGTTACTATACTCTGTATATGCCTGTTCGAGCATTGTAATACCTATACATCATCTGTATGTCTTGATGCTTTCTATCTGGTAAAAACCTTATGAAATTATTTTTAAAAAAAGAAAAAAAAAGTTCAAAATGTCCACAGCATCTATGGTTTTGCACAAAAACATTTGGCTTACCTGACCATCCTCAACCTCTTCACAGAGGTGGGTGCTGTAATTCTGTAACAATGAACTCTGGTCCATCTTGTGCACAACCCATTCTCTTCACTTATTTGCCCTGCTTAAGGGACACTGCGCCTAGCAGGGCAAACCTCCTAAATTATGCTAACACTCTGGCATCATTGCCAGCATACTGGCTTCTGAACAAAGTAATGTTACTATCTACATTTCTATATTATCTAGTCAGCACTGGCTCAGGAGTTATCATAGCAACCATAGCGAATGCACTGTGTAGAGCAAAAGGACTAGCTGAGGGTGGTCTCTTCTGCTCTCCATTAATTAATTCTTTGGCACAGAGTTTATTTCTAAATAGCTTTTTCTCCTAATCTACACATTTGCTAGCACAATGTATAGATGGGATTATTTTTGTATTTGTTTCCTTTTGGTATTTATTTGTGTTTAGTTGAGTCAGTGGTAACATTTTCCTCATGTTTTGTGGGTTTAGGCTTATTAGGTAGGTGTTTTGTCAGTTTAATGACAAAGAGTCTTGGTGGGATGAATTACCCTGGGAAGATAAATAAATGTGCCTCTTGTATGCTGGAGCTGGAATTGTCACCCTGTGACCACCGCTTGCAGTCCGCAAAAAGATCAAGAAAGAAAGTGAAGATATCATGAGAAATCATAAGTGATTATCCTGTACCTATCCAGTGTTTATCCAAGCCTGTGACGGCACCTGTAGAGCCTGCTATAAAGAGCCTGATACGGCTCTAAGTTTGTGGGACATTCTTGAGTTATACTTATATATAGTTACCATATATAGAAATCACTATGTATGTGTTTTTTTTTTCTTTTTTACATAGATGAGGACATATGTATACATAAGTATAGACTGTGTGCTCACAGAGGAAGTAACATTTCTTATTTTCTATATTGGCTATAATTTGTCTAAGGTGACAGGGCTTACACCTTTGTGTAAGGTGTTTGTAACGGCACCCTCAGCATAAAAGGGTTAAACCGCCGTTTAGTCGATCTTCCCTTCCATAGACACAGGCACAGCTACTGCACAACACCAATCCGCCGAACAGGAAACCATATGAATGCCGTAAACAGCCAAATAGGAAAAACCATACGAATAGGTTTACACTCCTAGCAGTCGAACTGGAACAGCATACAGTAAATACCCCCAAGAACGAGACAAAGCTCCGAGTTCAGGGTCAAGCAGTGAACAGACAGAGCTGTGGGTTTATTGTTCTTATATACACATTAGTACCACCCACAGGGTTTTGGAATACAACCAATAAACACATACAATACACTCAGACACTCCCACACACAATCCTCCCCTTTGCCTGTGATACAATTACCTTACACAATATGTAATGTAATTATCACAAGCAGAGAAATAAAATTTTTCCACATTATTCATAACTTGAAAAGAATGCATCACATTCACATAAAACTTACTTTCAGAATCAGCATACTCCAAATACAAACATACGTCAAAATCATACAAATTGGTCCAGTGGTTCAAAAGATAGATCGTAGTCCTTTGTGACCAAAGGAAGCATGGCTTTTCTGCCCAAAACCAGTTCCACAGAGTCTTCTATCCTGGAGATAATTTTGAAGTAATCCAAATATCTCCAAAGACAGAGGCAAAACTCCATTGAACACATGGCAGCAAAAGACAATAAAACACATAAAAACATATAACTGTACAGCCATTGCACAAAACAGGTACATTCAACATATCCCCAGATAGCTCAGATCTGAGCGCACATTATTACTGAATGGCGCTCAGAGCACACACATACAGTTCAATTGCCATGGAGCCAAAGTCTTTCCCATAGTCTTTCATTATACGAATGGGCTCCATGGCATAGCTATCTGGGGTATCACCGCTCAAACAGGGCAAGCACCAAATGACCCGGCTTTCATGTCTTTGCAAGGGAAAAATCAAGCCTTTTAACATGGGGCCATAATCCAAAGGCAACAGGCGAGCAACCAGGCTTCTCCAATGCAATGTGGCGAGATTGGTCTCGTCACAGTGTTTATGTGTGTGACAAACGCTCTTTACTATGGAGGTTTACCACAAACCCCTGGAGGAGTGTGGAAGCTGGCCTCCTGCTCACCGACTATGGTCTAGGTCAGAGCACCTGTTCGTGACAGTTAACCTCCCCAGTCACCATTAGCAGCTTATCCCCCAAGCCCCTAGTTCGGCATTCTCTCTTCTCTGGAATTGAGTCGAACACCTGCTACCTGGCGTCCGTTCGAACGAAGAAACCCACGAATGATCCTCAGCGGTATTTAGACGCGATCGCTATGGAACTCATTTTTGGCATGAGGATTTTGTGGGGCCCGGGACACCTCAGCGGTACTTCGCTGCGAATGTTATGAAACCGGTTTCAACATGAGGTAACTGCTGTTCCCGATCAACTTGGTCCAGGGATTTGAAGCACTTTGCAACCCCTCAGGAAAGGGCTTTTTGGAGGGAAGGTGCCAGAGACTAAGGGGAACAAACGCTACCCGAAAGCCAGGCAGAGCACCCTGTATTGCAGCCACAGGAGCTACCGAAAGTTGACTGGCAAAAGCACCAAAGACCATGGAACTATTTTGGGCATAGAACCACGTGTGTGGCCGTCCTACCATTAACACGGTGGCACTTCCCCTACACTGCATGGATCTGAGCACTATTTGGAGAACTTGGGTGCTCAGATCAGGGCTGTATGTTATGTAGAGTTACTGTATATTTTTATGATGTTTTAGGGTATTCTTAAGTTTTTGCGTTTGCCTCTCTGTTCCTGGGAGATATTAGCTTACCGGTCTTTAACTCAATTAACTCCCAGGCACAGAGATCTTTGGGAGGGGCTTGCACTCTTTTGTGTGGATACCCTTTGCTGGGGGTTGTGTATATAAGCAGGCAACTAAGCCACAATAAAGCAGTTCCTTTTTTACCCTTCCCTCAGTCTGAGTTAGTATTTGGGTGGATCCGCTATACTCTCTGCAGGAGAGCTTAATTACTTGAAGCTGTACCCAGGACATGCTTCCAGAGTGGGAAGCGACGTTGAGACACCAGCCAAGTTGCAGCGGCTAGGGTCTGAAGCACTCCTGTGTCCCGAAGGAGAGCTAGGAAGCCATCTTGACGGACGTACCCAGTCGGGGTGCCAAGCGGTCCATCACAATGTGTATCCTTAAAACATAGAAGCGCCAACACATCAACTTGTTTATTTTTGTAAAGGGACAGTAAAGTCTTGATAGTCTCCGTATTTTCCGCCACATACGCATAGATTATTAAACCATGATCGATTCGAAAAGTCTTTCATAATGGTCTCAGTAGTATCAGTAGAGCACTAGTGTTGGATGTGGAGAGCATAGGCAGCTACAAGTAACTTATTGAGAAGAACCTACTTAGTTAGAATGCCCTTGCATGTGCAGTGTGTAAACAGAGCTATGAACTCAGGCAGCCATAATTAAGCTTGGTGGCCCATATGAACCAGAGCTTCTAATGCTTGATTTGATCCTTAATCAAAACTATGCATAAAGTTTATCCCAAATACAATATGGTCTAGTCTACCTCCTTCCTTTTTTTTCTCTATAACAAATGTATATCTTTTAATTCACAACTTTAACTCCAAAACTCCTAAGGCCTATTAAGAACATATAACTAATGCCTTTAGACATCTTGTCTTTTGTTTATATTTTTCCACTTAAATCAACAAGAAGGTATATTCACACATATGCAGTTTTTGTAATTTACAGTTCTGTACCAAAAATAAAGAGCCTCTTTGATGGGGGATTTTAGGAAATCACTGGGGAATCTTTAGTTCATTATCATAAAACGATAAGTTTTGGTTTTATTATCACCCTACAAACAAGTGGGAAGTTCTACCAATTAATATATGGAAGCTGAAGCCAAGAATTAAGATCAACAGGAACACTGCACATTAGAACCTCATTGCAGTCACAGAAAGAAGAATTTTCAAGTGGAGAATTTCAAGAGGCAACTTTAAATTCTTCCCACCACAGACTACTACAAATCTTGGCATTAACCACATACATCAGCATCCATTGTATTCTCAGTCTTCACTCTCAGGAAGTTTACAAGCAACCTGGGTAATTCTCCAAGTTCCAGGTTGTGGGGTACCCTTGGGAGTATGCAGTCTTTCAGTAGTGGTTGGCGCCTCAGTCTGAAGGATCCTGGCACTCTTGGCAATCCCTCATATCCTCAGAGTAATTTTCTATCTGAATGGTTGTGGTGTGAAAATGGAATTTGTTCTGTAGCTGCGAGCTGGCCTCTGTCAAGATCATCTGTGAGTTAGCATCTTCATCTGTGAAAGGTGAATTTTAATTAAGAACAGTGACAATCACTTATATTTAAAAAGTTTCAAAAATATTTAAGGAAACAAAAGTTTTTGTATTTCTTAAAGCAGTAGCAAGAATTATATTCAATTTTTTTCAGTTTAATCCTACATGTTAAAAACAGTCACATTATGGAAGTATTTGTTATTAAAATAGATACAGCTATACACTACATTGGTTTACATATTTCTCCACTATTATACATGGCAAGTCACTAATGTAATATATAGTAAAGGGACACTATAGTCACCAGAACAACTACAGCTTATTGAATTTGTTCTTGTTAGTAGAATCATTACCTTCAGGGTTTTTGCTGTAAACACTGTCTTTTCAGAGAAAATGCAGTGTTTACATTACAGCCTAGTGATAACTTCACTGGCCACTCCTCAGATGGCTGTTAGAGATCCTTCCTGAGTCATGGCTGCCTAAAATGCATCCAAACATTCAGTGTCTCCTCCCTCTGAATGCAGACACTGAACTTTCAATTCATCTCTATGAGGGGATGCTGATTGAATTGTGCTGGCTCAGCCCCTGATCTGCCTCCTTGTCAGTCTCACCTAATCCTATGGGGAAGCATTGTGATTGGATCAGACCACCACTTCTGAGGTCACAGGCAGAGGCAGCACAATACAAGTCAGATTTTACTATCTTTAGGGAGGCAAAGGGGGCTAGATAGTGGTTTTAACACTATAGGGTCAGGAATACATGTTTGTGTTCCTGTCCCTATAGTGCTCCTCTAATGTATGTATATGCATGTGTTGAATCTATCCTCTAGACCAGTTCCTCCCAGTAAAAAAAAAAAAAAAAATGTATATCTGGAAATTATGTTGCACAACTGGATGCTGTATTTATAAAAGAACATTAGACCAGAAAATCCTTACAACATTGTCAGACTAGACACTTACTGATTGCTATATGGACAGATAGAACAGGCTGGGAGACTGTGAGAGCCCAGATATGAAGACTATGAACAGCTTTCACTCCCTTGATTGATAGTAGAGTGTCCTTCACCAAGTTAAAGTCTACACCCTTAGGGGTACCTGAATAAAACAGCATGATAAAATTAATCAAACAGATGACTTTATCACTCAGGCAACAATGATTTGCTTACATAAACCATATATAAACCTTACTTACCCTCCATCAGTACAAGTAAGACATCTCTAAGGATTGTAAGTGTAGTGCCTAAGACCAGGAATGAGAACAGGAATGTACAGATCGGATCAATCATTTTATATTCTGGCTGGAAAGAGATAAATATGACATGAAAAGTGTTTTATGAGCTAATATGTTTACAGAAGTGAAATTATGAGTCAGAAGTAATTTTGTGATTTGTAGGCTGCATTAGAACAGTGTTGACAGTATTTTTCCAGCTAGCCACGGTATTGGAGAGAGTTCCTTGTTTCATACCTTAAAGTAGATTACATAAGCAGCAACAAGCACCCCAATACTCTGCAACAAGTCTCCCACAACATGAATGAAAGCAGCCCGGACACTAGGATTATGGTGTTCTTCAGAGCGGTCTGAATGTGAATGTCCATGTGTGCTGCCAGCTCCATGACTGTGCCCATGGCCCGTCTGATGAAGGGTTACCCCCATTCTGTAGAACAATACAAAGTTGCAAGATTAAAAGGACCATTACATATAAATTCTAGTAACTAAGAGATATATATATAAGCTGTATATGGTTAATAGAAATAAGATTTCAGCAGGCAGGGGGGGTACACAAATTTGCATGCAAAAAGATACAAGCTATAAATTATGTTCATTTGACCGCAATCTCCATGTTCAATTCAGTTCAGATTTGTTATAAAAAAAAAAAAAAAACAGCGTTTTGCTGCATAAACCTGGCTAGTAGCATGCATGCACACAGGTGAAAAATCGAGAAAGATTTTGGCACTATCCTTGCTTTGGACAGGATTATTTCTCATATAGTACTTGAATATATAGCTCTAGAACTGTAAAGTTATGCATTCTGCTAACACAATATATAGATTAAGTGCTTTGCAGATTAAGAAAAACAGTCATGTTATGCAGGAAGTTACTTTGTAAAAAGGAAAAACATAACCGTACATCAGTTTCTGTAAATTAACAAGTGATAAAAGGCTTGATGAAGAGGCCATGTATTAAACAATATTTAATGTAATGGTGTGAAGTAATTTCAGCTTTGTTCTTAGCCAGGGTGCAGCACTTTTGCAGGCTGTTGGTGTGGAAAACGTGCCTATGTCGCAAGCTCTTGGAGAAGCCTGCTAGCTGGTCTCCTGCCCAAGGACTATAGGCTGTATCCAAAGACCCTTTTCGGGAGTTAACCCTACTCAGCCGCCATTAGTAGCTTTCCTTGGGTGCCCCTGGTTCGGCACTTTCCCTTCATTCGAATGAAACTGAACACTAGTTCCCTGGCTGTCGTGAACCAAACCCACGAATGGTCCTCAGCGGTACTTAGCCGCGATTGTTATGGAACTAAATTCAGCATGAGGACTTTGTGGGTCCCCCGTCACGTCAGCCGTACTTCACTGTGAATATTATGGAACTGTTTTCGGCATGAGAGAACGATGCGGTTCCCAGACAACTTGGTCCAGGGTTTTGAACTACCCGCCAGGAGATCGCTTTTTGGAGGGAAGGAGCCAGAGACTAAGGGTAACAAATGCTAACAGAGCCAGGCGGAGCACCCCTTATTTCGGATGCAGGAGCTCCCAAAAGTTGATCGGCCAAAGCACCAAACGCCCTGAAACTATTTTGGGCATAGCACCACATGTGCGGTCGGCCAGAACTTTAATATGGTGGGGTTTCCCCTACACTGCATTGATCTGAGCGCTATTTGAAGAACTTTAGATCAGGGCTATTTGATGATGTATTATTTGTGGGGTTAGTGTATGTTTTTATGATGTTTTAGGGGTATTTTTTTATATATGTTTTAGGTTTGCCTCTCTGTTCCTGGGAGACATTTAGCTTATCGGTCTTTAACGCAATTATTTCCCAGGCACAGAGATCTATGTGAGGGGCTTGTCTTGTATTGAATAGAGACCCCATGCTCGGGGCTGTGTATATAAGCAGGCAACTTGGCCATAATTTTGACATTCTTTATTTTATACTTTTATCGTTTGAACAAGGTTGTTAACAACTGGGGTTACAGTAATGTTATTGTTTCGACACTTATATTGGTTTATGGAGCATTCATGGTAGATATGCTCTTTGCATCCCACAGTCCCAGCAGAAGTGTCCAAGGCAGTCTGGGCCCTCTCTAAGGTGTGCCTCGGTGCCGACCCGCTTGATTTGAGCCTAGTAGGCAGAACCTGTCTCTATGCCGCACCCTTCCCTTTGTATTTGGCCTTCTTTGTTAGAAGAGTGGGAGCGAGGCGTTGAGGCGTGTGTCAAGTACGGGACGCTTATTACCCCTGTGTGAGGTGGAGGGGGATCCCAGCCCTCCTCCCTGTTCGTGGCTGGGTCAGGTCATTCCTTGCAGTCTCCCAGATTTAGTCCAACCTGCGCAGGGCGGGGGACTGTATCTTCAGTTAGCTAATGGGCGTATGTTACGGGTGTGTGAGAGTTGGACAGGATCTGCATTCCTGATGTCTCAGTCAATGCCAGGCAACTTGGCCATAATAATCAAGTTCCTTTTTTACTCTTCACTTAGTCTTGACTAGTGTTTGTGTGAACCAGCTATACGGCTATACTCTCTGCAGGAGAGCTTTAATCACTTGAACTTGGATCCAGGACTCTGACGAGAACCTGACCAAGCTGCGGCGGCTAGGGGCTGGAATTCTGATGGTGTCCTGGTCATCACTAGGGAGCGAGCTTGGTGGAGGTACCCAGTCAGGGTACCAGGCAGTCTGCCACAGTTGGGCAACACAATATGCCTATGGAGCATAGAATTTGTTAAGTAGAGCCACTCCAACACAATGAAAAGCTTGCGTCGTTAATTTCAGATACACAATGTGGTTTTGTGGCAACTATTGCTTATTTAACCCTTAAGGACCAAACTTCTGGAATAAAAGGGAATCATGACATGTCACACATGTCATGTGTCCTTAAGGGGTTAAACCAAGGAGGCTGGAAAATAATTTTACAGTGGCTTTGGAAGCAAAGGAAAAAGAAAAACTAAACTACATTACAATAACCCATGTATTAACTAAAATTACACACTCACATAGAAAAAAAAAAACCTGCTGCCATATCCTGGTCTAATGTGCATTTAAGTTTAGTTTTAGTACTTTCACCAATACACATCATGGTTATCACATCATGTAGGAGTGTGACAATCATTCCAATAAAAGATTTACACTAGTTTGTACTGGTGGGAGTGGAATCAACACATACGGCACTCCAACATTTCAGCAAAAGAGGACCAAGCAATGTTTGGGAATAGTATGGACTCTAAAAAATAATTTGAGGGATACACAAAAGTATACAAAATGCATCCTTGCTAAACTTATTTATGTCTTATTTAGTACAATATGTGAAACACATTTATTTCTAAAGTTAAAGTGTTTAATTGGTAGTAGATCCACCTCCCCACCTCCCTCCTGGGCATTAGGGATATAAGTTGTATTCCTAACACTATGGTGTTTAATTAAAGGACCACTTCAGCTTAATTAAGTGGTCTGGGTGCCAGGTCCCTCTAGGATTAACCCCTTTTTTGTATAAACATAGTAGTTTCAGAGAAACTGCTATGTTTATAAATGGGTTAGTCCAGCCTCTAAAGCCTCTAGTGGCTGTCTCATTGACAGCCGCTAGAGGTGTTTGCGTGCTTCTCACTGTGAAAAATCATGAATGCTTTCCTATGAGACTGGTTGAATGCGCGTGCAGCTCCTGCCGCGCATGCGCATTCAGCCGAAGGGGAGGATGGGAGGCGGAGAAGAGCTCCCCGCCCTAGAAAAAAGGTAAGTTTAACCCCTTCCTCTCCCCAGAGACCGGCAGGAGGGGGTCCCTGAGAGTGGGGGCACCCTCAGGGCACTATAGTGCCAGGAAATCTAGTATGTTTTCCTGGCACTATAGTGGTCCTTTAATAAAACTGTAGATTTATTTTGATATCTGCATTTTTATAAAAATAAAAAATAAAGTTTAGAGGACATGTTCTGAACTGCAAAGCCCTTCAGCAAACTGAAGTACATTAGGGGTTTATACTGTTCCTTTAAAAAAAAAGAGTCCATACACCAGACTTGGACTTTACAACACACAGGAACCGGAAAGGACGGCAAGACAACTAGAGGGAACTGGAAACAGCTGTAATACACACCGGAACTGGCTAATATCGACCAATAAGACAAAAATGACCGAGACCTGATCTACAAGAATGCACTTTTGAAAAAGCTTTGGCAAAACGCATCAAGTGAGGACAGACTATTAGAGAGCACTGGTTTAGAACTTTAAACATTTTATTTATTTGTAATATATTCCAGTTTTTTTAAATAAAGTACTTTTTTATACCACATATACCAGTCCTTTGTATACTTACCTCACATCCAGTTCTTTTTGCTGGTCTGGGTCCATGTGTATCCCTAGGTGGAGATTGTTCCACATAAAGTTCTATATACTGGAGCAGGTCTTTGCTCTAGGTCATGTAAGTAGGTTTTATCCTTTTTACAAATACTGTCACTTTGCATACCTTACCATTGGATTTTTATCTTCTCTTTATATATGGTGACTGTGGCGAAACCGGCCTCGCCACGTGTCCTTGGAGGGGGCTGCTTGCCCGCCTCTTGCCTTTGGACTATGGACCAGACTTTATGTGAATGTGTTAACCCAGATAGCTATGCCATGGAGCCCATTCGTGTAGTTAAAGACTTCGGCTCCATGGCACTTGAACTGTGTGAATAGGATCTGAGCGCTATTCGGTAGTTTTGTGCGCTCAGATCCCAGCTATCTGGGGATATGTGAAATGTCTGTGTCTTATGTGTAAAAGGTGACTATGTATTTTAAAGTGTTTTGTGTCTTTTTGCAACCATGTGCTTAATGGAGTCTTGTGTCTGTCCTGGGAGATAACTGAATTACTTCTCAATTCAATCTCCAGGATAGAAGACTCTGAAACTGGTTTGGGTCGGAAAGCCATGCTTCATTTAGTCACAAAGGACTTTCCCTTAACTTTTGAACCCCTGGTCTGATTCGTGATTCGTTTTTTAATATGTTGTTCCCCTGAATGGATTGATTATGAAAATGTATGTTTTATGTTTGTGACATGTATATTTTAGAAGTTATAAATATTGTGTAAAAACTGTATTCCTCTGCCGGTGATAATGAGATTACCCATTGTGTTCAGTAATCATATCACATGCAGAGGGGAGGATTTTGTGTGGGAGTGTCTGGGTGTATTGTGCGGATTGATTGGTTGTTTTGTAACGCCCTGTGGGCTGTACTATGTTTGTGGATTGGGAATAAAAGAGACTGTATGTGACAGTACAGGAGTTCCTGTTTTAACCCTCAAAGTGAAGTGTTGTCTCATTATTGGGGGAAGGATTTATTGTATGCTGTTCCAGTTTGACTGCTAGGAGAGTAAACCTATTCATATGGTTCCTATTCAACTGTCTACAGCATTCATATGCTTGGGAGAATTTGTTTCTCCGGTTTGGTGATTGCGGTGTCTGCCAGAGTGCTTGGAGTCCTCAGGAAGCGCTAGGAGCATCCTTCAACGGAGGTACCCAGTCGGGGTGCCAGGTGATCCGTTACAGTGACCATTACCCACTTGAGAATCAAGCACTGCTGACATCTACAAAAGATATCCTTAGACGGGGATTATTCCGTCCAGGCCCATGAAATAGAGCTTCTATGGCTCTATAAAGCGCGAGTGTTCCTTTGGCACGAATTTAATATTTGCACTTTTGTTAATACGCTGCACTATTATTTTGTCCTTTTCTTTGGGTGGGGGAACACTTTGTTGGTGAACTGCAGCTATTTTACCAGACAGAGCACTCATTTTGTTTTGTTAACAGACTTGGACTTTGTCAACAGAAAACACAACAAGAGTAGTATATACCTACATGATGTTCACTGCTACAGCACAAGCCGAAGTGATTAGCATTGTTTCTCCTTCTATCTCATAATCCCCTGAAATTAAACGCTCCACAGCCAGGTACACCAAGACTCCAGTTACTACCCAGATAGACAGAACCGATACAAGGGCTCCTAAAATCTCTACAAATGAAAAAAAAAAAAAGTTTAGTTACTGGAAAAGAGTTGCTTCATGACTAGCTTGTCTACAAAAAACATATGTCTCAAAAACAAAATCTGTAAGTGACTCATGACATCTACTGCCTCCATTTAGGAATTAACACAATGACCAAAACTCTATTCAGGAAGCCTTCATACCTGCACGATGCCATCCAAAGTTCATGGTTTTTGTAGCTGGACGCGAAGACATCCATAGAGCAAATAAACTAATCATCATGCTTGCAAAGTCAGTCAGAAGATGAGCAGCATCCGTCATGATTGCCAAGCTGTGTGCCAAGTACCCACCTGACGAAAAACAGGAGTACAAAATACTTAATGGGAAACTACCAACAGCAGAAAAAAAATTGACTGAAGAAAAATAAAAACCAGATATAGTAACAGGCATATATACTAAACAAGGCCACATGTCACAATTAGTGATGACGCGAACCGTTCTCGAACTTCCCGCGAACGGTTCGCGGCGAGCTCCGGTCAGCTGACACATCCCGGCCAATCTCCAGCAGACCCTCCCACCTCCTGGACAGCATCCATGTTGAAGCTGCCTTCAACATGGGTGCTGTCCAGGAGGTGGGAGGGTCTGCTGGAGATTGGCCGGGATGTGTCAGCTGACCGGAGCTCACCATGAACCGTTCGCGGGAAGTTCGAGAACGGTTCGCTACATCTCTAGTCACAATACCATAAGAAAAAAACAAAAAAACAAAAAAAAAACCTTCAACAGTACAATGCAAAAATAAGATACAGTAAATTGCATCACATTATGGTTACACTGTTAAACCCAAAAGGGAGACATACATTCTAAAAAAGTACAAACTAAAAGAAATCCCTTTGAGACAAAGTTAGAAATCCAGTGAAGATTTGTGCTTTCTTTTGGATCAAGGGCAGCAACAGGGATCAGTAAAAATTTTGATATTTATAGATATGGATCTCTTTCAGCTTAAAGCAGCTCTATTACATTTGGGAGTCTTTGAATATTTGCAAATACCTATGAAGGTGTGAAGCTAGAGGCAGTTATACCTGTGGGACATGGAGCAAAGGTATTTATTGGTGTAGTAATAGATACCTTTAGGGCAGTGGTTCTCAACCTCAAGTACCCCCTAACAGGCCAGGGTTTATGGATTACCCTGTTGTGTCAAAGGTGTTTTTAGGGGCTTAAAAAAATAAATGGGGGGGAAAAAACCAAAAAGAAAACCACACACTTTAGACACAATTAGTTAATCCCTAAACCCTGTACTTGAGAACTGAGTTGGGAACCCCTGCTCTAGGGTGAGCTTCAAATTGTAGTGCAAACATGAGTACTGAAGATTATATTATTTGGTATTTGACTGATTTCATGTATACAAAATATTATTCATGTGTGTCATCTTAAAGAGAAGTCATCAATAATGCATTAAGAGATACATTAAACAATTGCAGAGTCTTGCTGAGAGTACCCTGAGATTTGGTGTGAGCAGTCTTGGAAGCACTTTCTGGATGATTTTATGCACTCTATATTGTGGCATGCTATGAAGGGAAAGCACCTTATACTACCCTTTACTTTATTTAATCTGCACTTTAACACTTGAACTGTGCTCTGTGTATTATGAATTTTGTGCTGTAGAAAAGCAGCTAGCCATAAGGGTTTCAATCCTACTCAGGCTTATTATTGTTAATTGCACACTTAGATTTTGTGCCAACATATGTTTTAATCTCATCTTTGTTTTCAATAAATTGTATATTTGTTTTACTAATTATATTTTCTTTTGTTTCCTCTCTATTTTTTAGATATTCCATACAAAGCTGGCATATATTAGTGTTTGGTGCACTGCTATTTTGTATTGATTTCTTCTTTACTTTGGTTTTCTACATTTACAAATGTTGGGAGTGACCTTTAGACAGAGGTTTGCCTGCACTTAATCATTATCACTCACTCTGCCCATCCACTTTTTGTTCATACATTATGCAATTACCCAAGATTTTTTGCAGAACTTTAACTTTTCTGACGGTCATAAAATATTTGGATCTAATTGTGTTAAACAATTTTATTTAGAATTCTGTCAGAGTGATCCATACCTGTAATTAATTGTTTATACCAGAAATTAATTTTTCACAATGACTCACACACACTCTGTAATTTAAATTGTGTGTATTATTTTACCACGGGGATGTAATCTGTGTAAGTAATTCATCTGGTCTATAAAAACAGCAATTATGTATTCCAATTATATTAAAGATTGTTCTACACTATAATATCTAATGTTGAGAAGTCTAATCTATCTCACATCAAACATAAAAAATAAAAAAAATAAAAAAAAAAGTCCTTACCCCAAAGTGGCACTCAGATCTTTTCTTTGGATCAAGAAGCGGTTACCCACGTATTAAAATTTGCATCTCTGCATATCATGTTTTTGCTGTATAAACATCTATACAGGCAGATAAGTGCACATCCTTTTTGTGCTTAATGTAACTAACCCTTTCTTTGCCTTAGACTAAATCTCATTTCTTCCAGTTGAAATGCATGACCTTGTGTCCCATGAATATGAATAGATTTCCAGACACTGGTTTGTATTGGTCCCAAATATATTTGTATAAGGCCATCATATCATCTGTAGTGCTATTTTAACAGATTACCATATGTACTCATAACTAAAGAAAAATGAAAAATAATCTCTTACCTATTACCTCTCCAATCATGAAAAGCAGACATACAACAGATGCCACGTAGAGCTTCCTGCGAGCCCTCTCCTTTTCTGTGCTGTGCCAGTTCTCCTGTAAACGGTTAGAGTGGCAATGACGGTTGACCTGGTTAGCAAGTTCAATGCCATTCAAATCAGACATGTATGCCAGCATCTGGCAGTGAAATTCCTTCCCCGAAATTCCAGAGTAGGTACTGATTAAAATGAAATGGATTGGGTTAAAAGCATGAAAAAAAAGTTACAATGCTTTTGATTATCTATGTTTAAATGCTTTTTCTTTCAGCCATACATACACACTTCTTGTACAGAGAAATTAACGTATAATGAGGATCATTTGAAATAAATGCACAACTCTGCTAAACTTAAAATGTATGCAAACTTTAGATTCTGCCCCCCCAAAAAACACCTAGCATTTCAGTTTAAATATCACCATTTTAATAAACAATGGTCGCCTAGTATGAAAAGCTGCACATGCAGATCACTGGCATGTCACTGGGTTTTATTACCCAACCTAGAACTGGATGGGCTGGCAAAGGTCCATTATGTGCAAATTTCCATGGCAACTGATGGGCTCTAGTGGTTATAATGTCCTTTGAGTATCCTTTAAACGCCTTAGTGACCTGACTTTTTTTCCCCATTTTCTTACCGTTAAGGACCAGGGCTGTTTTTACATTTCTGTGATGTTTGTGTTTAGCTGTAATTTTCCTCTTACTCATTTACTGTACCCACACATATTATATACCATTTTCCTTGCCATTAAATGGTCTTTCTAAAGATACCATTAATTTTCATCATATCGATATAGATGCAATAAAGTAAATTCTTTCACATATAATTTAATATAAAAAAAATTATATAAAAATTAAGACGAAAACAAAAAACAATAAAAACACTTTTTCTAACTTTGACCCCCAAAAAACACCCGTGCTAAATGGTTTCTAAATTTTGTCCTGAGTTTAGAAATACCCAATGCTAACATGGTTTTTCAAGTTATAGGATAATAAGTACAAGTAGCACTTTATTTCCAACCCATTTTTTTCAAAATTAACCAACACTGATCGGTCAGGATTACCTGAATAACTCTTCACATGTATTTATATTTTTTTTAAAAGAAGACAACCTAAGGTATTAAACTTGGGGTATTTTGACTTTTTTCATGCAACCATTTTACCACCAATCTATGCCAAATGTAAAAAAAAATTTAATACGAATTGGTGATTTTTTTGACATACATAACAGTTCCACAGGAACGGTGCAGCCCTAGAGAAGTCTTGCATGCAAGGAAGTACGAACAGAGGACAGATGCAGGTCTTCGGCAGAGTGTAGGGGCCTAGACGGACATACTTGTGTATTAGGGAGAACAGATAGGTGGGAGTAGCATTATGTAAATATTTGAAAGCAAACGGCGGACAGGAAGATGAGCCTTGACGCTGCATTTATTATAGACTGCAATGGGGCAAGTAAGGAGCACATAGGAGCACCACTGAGAAGCAGATTGCAGTAGTCAAGGCGAGAGAGGACAGTTGCATGGACCAGCACCTTAGCCGCATCTGGCGTTAAATAGGGGCGTATGCACGCTATGTTTTTGAGATGGAAGCGCAAGGATTTGGCGATCAACTGGACATGAGGGGTGAAGTAGTGGTCGGAGTCAAAGAACACCTAAGCAGCGAGTCTGTGTGGTGGAGCTGATGGTAGCACCATTAACGTGGAGGGAGACAACACTTAAGGGAGGAAAGACTAGAAATTCTGTTTTGGAGAAGTGGAGTTTAAGGAAGTGGACAGCCATCCAGTTAGAAATAGAGGCATTCAGAGACACTAGTAAATAGGGGCGGGGAGAGATCAGTGGAGGACAGATAGATTTGGGTGTCATCCACATAGAAGTGATATTGGAAGCCAAAGGAGCTAATGAGTTTACCAAGGGAGGCAGTATAGATGGAAAACAGTAGGGCACCAAGGACTGGACCTTGGGGGACACCAACAGAGAAGGGTTGGGGAGGGAAGAGGCAGAGCCAGAAAGAAACAATAGAAGAGCACTGGGTGAGGTAGGAGGAGCACCAGGAGAGAGCAATATCTCGTAGACCGAGATTATGGAGGATGAGAAGAAGCTGTTGATGATCAACAGTATCGAAAGCAGCGGAAAGGTCAAGTAGAATTAGGATCATGTAGTGACCATGAGATTTTGCAGCGAGCAGATAGTTTGATACTTTGGTCAGAGCAGTTTCCACAGAGTGCTGAGCGCAGAAAAGAGACTAAAGTGGGTCAAGCAGAATGTGGTGGTCTGTGAGGGAGTTTATATTTCAACTGAATTGTTCAGAGAGGCATATGATTTTAACCCCAGGGGGAGTGTGTGTTACGGTGTGTATATAACCGAAATTAATATTTAGTTATGGGCCCCTGGGGTGGAGCATTTGGAGAGCAGGGTGGGCCAGTGCTCCACTCCGCAGTTTAGCTTTTTTTTGGGACACATAGATCCAGGCCAGGGTTTTTGGACTGTCTCCAACCCACTGCTCAGCTGCAGCAGTGGGAATAAACCCCTCCCTGCTAGGCAGGTCAAGGGAGAATGTTTGTTTTCTCTCTTGAAGAGCTAGAAGCATCAGGCTGACTAAACAGTGGAGTGCTGAGAGCTGACAAAGACACTGGGTTGGTGAAACCAATATTATTTTGTTATAACTTAACCTTGAGAGATAGGGGATCTGATGTATGTTAGTGCTCAGATGAGCTAGGTTTTTGTTTATAGGGATTTTGTTACATTATTGTTTTTTTTTTCCCCATCTACTGCTGTCTCCTGTGTAGATTTACAAATAAAGTGCTTGGAATTAAGTTCCTTTTAAAGACTGTGCATGTTTGTACCCAAAAGGACCGTGCTACCTGCAGACAAGGATCACATCACATGCACAATTCTTTCAATGATCTTTGAGGCAAAAGGCAGTAGCGAGATAGAGCAGTAGTTGAACGGGGAGTTAAGGTCAAGGTTGGGCTTTTGTAGAATTTAGAGTTACAGTTGCATGTTTGAAAGGTAATGGAAATATGCCAGAGGAGAGTGAGAATTTTAATGAGAGACAAAGCAAGAGAAGGAGACAGAGTACGGATGAGATGCGAGGGAATAGGATCAAGGGAGCAGGTGGTAGGACGGAAGGACCTGAGCAGATTAGAAACCTCTTTTGCTGTAGTGGATGCGAATGAACATAGAACAGCAGAGGGAGTGAGGTTGTGGGAAGTATTGTAAGTGGAAGGAGAGCGATGAGAGATCTCTTCCCGGATTGTAGAGAGGTCAGTGAAGGGAGCTGCAAAGTTTGTGGCGGTTGAGTAACTCATGTTGCTTTAACCACTGTATCAAAACTCAACTTTGAAATCAGTTGTCTGCCTCAGAAATGCTTTAGACTTGAGAAAGGGAGGTTCTCCTGAAAGCTGAAGAATTTAAAAATTCTGTTAGTCAAATAAAAAAAAAAAAATGTATTACAAGAAACAAATAGGTTATCTTTTTTTTTTTATACACAAAAAAAAAAAAAAATATGACTGCTAACTTTGGCCAGTGTTTGTGACCAAGTGGCTACAAAAAAAATATATTGGCCATATCCCACTTGAAATACCCTGAGATGTCTACTTTTGCAAATAGTATGCTATCATGAGGGTAATTCTCATTCCTGGGCTAAAAGACAACATTACCAGTCTGGCAAATTTCAATGTGAAAAAAACCTGAAATGCAAGCCTTATATTTAACTCTAACTTTCCAAAACACCATAAAACCTGTACGTGGGGAGTACTGTTCTACTCGAGAGATATCACTCTACACAAATATTAGTGTTTCAAAACAGTAAACATATTAGAATAATAATATTGTCAGTGATAGTTCCATTTGTGTGTGAAAAATCCAAAAGGACTTAATTTTTACTCACAATTAGTGATGTTGCGAACCGTTCGTGAACGGTTCGCGGCGAACTCCGGTCAGCTGACACATCCCTGCCAATCTCCGGCAGACCCTCCCTCCCAGACCCTCCCACCTCCTGGACAGCATCCATGTTGAAGCTGGAGGGTCTGGGAGGGAGGGTCTGACGGAGATTGGCAGGGATGTGTCAGCTGACCGGAGTTCGCCACGAACGGTTCGTGGCATCACTACTCACAATATCATTGTAATACAATTTACCATTTTGAAACACATATCTGTGCTCAGCGAAGTCTCCTGAGTAAAACAGTAACCCCCATGTAAAGGAGTCTTACAGGGTTAAAATATAATCTTTGCGTATTATATTTTCTGCACTTTGAGTTGTCAAATTTTAATTAATAAAGTCATATAATTATGGTAAAAGATGATATACACATAGAGTATATATATATATATATGTATTAAGGCAATTTGCCTGCATTTGTGGGAGGTGCTGGTTTTCCACCCCTAGCCTACTTAAGGCACTCCCCATGCCTGGCTCCTTACCGTTCGAGGTCAGCGTTGAATGAGGATCCACTTCCGGGTTCTCTCAGACGCCATCTTGGTTTCAGTATCCAGGAGGTTTCACCACGTTAAGCTGTGTCCAGGAATCCTGTTCAGGCCTTTCCGCCCGTCCAGCTTCTTCTGACTCCGTTTCTCCGTCGTAGATCGCGTCCCAGGGACTCCTAAACCGTAAGTCAGACCTTCCTGTCACGCCAGGACTGGTTCCCACGGCGTACGGTACAGCACGGGTCCTCGCTTTACGGCTTTTCCCTGGTTATGACACGAATGTTTTCAAGCCATTCGCGGGCTTTTCATTTCGTACGGTCATTCGGCTGAACATGTTTTCAATCGTTCAATAGTCATTTCGCATATTCTATTCATGTTATTTAAACGAATGTTCATTCGGTTGTTTTGCCGTTCGGCAAATATTACATACGCTCACACACACTTTGGTTCGCATAAATCATATGGTTAAACTATTCTAACTTCTGTGTTCCCCTCACATTTGCTTTCGGCTGTTCTGTGTGTTCACGTTTTTAATCCTTTCATGAATTATATTCACCATTTCATGTGTATATAACATTCGGTTAAGTATTGCTTGCTTAAATAGATTGTTGATTACTTTTAACAATTGTCAGTATTGTATTTTGTCCACAAACCAAGTCCACTTCTGTGTATACCATTTGACTCCCACGCTTTCTGGGGTCTGCATTACTTATCCATTTATACGTATGGACTCAGCCATGTCACAAGCCTCATTTCTGGGTTATTAATACAATACATACAAGGATAGGTTCATTTAAGCAATAATTCTCGGGTTGATACGTCTTTGCTATACATACATATCATATAGATCCACATCACTTTACATCATGCTAAATCATTTTGGGGTATCCCTGCCTTTGGTCTTTCTGCTACATATCATACACAACGATGTGTTAATTAGGCCATGACCTCATCCATGTCCCTTTCTATAAAACCAGTTACATTTCGGTACAGGTCATTGAACTCCCACGCCAGGAGTTTTATAACTATCCATTTCATTTCAATTTACTCAGCCTACATTACAGGCCTCATTTCTCTGTCATGACGATGACACACAAGGCATAAGTCCTTTTGCATGCATACTCGGGTTGGATCACACGTCCTGATCCAACCAATCATACGTCCCCTACACAGTCATAATACATATGTATATAACCTACGTTTCATGTTTTCCTTTACACACCATTATCACGTAACACATAGATTGTTTGTACATAGGCCACGGCCTCCCTCAGATGTCTTTTTCAAGCATGCAAACATTTCTGAGCCACTCGTAGCTATTCCCATGGTATCAACATAATTTTATACATTGCTGCTACAGACTATAAGTCTGGTTCTTGTTATACCCCACACTCATCGTACTACTCTCTTTTACCCATTTTTAGGCTGTCGAGCTTATATAGTTGCTCCACACGGTTTATTCCTGTGATTTATCATACTACCAGGTACGTACACCTGCTCATATGGTATTCTACCATACATTTCATTTCATCCCCCTAGTTTAGAGTACTGGCAATAGGGTCACAGGATTCCCAATAGGTATTTACCCCGTCTTGGCTGTCGCCATCAGTTAGTGGTCCCGCGAGGCCAACACCCCGCCTCAAACGTTCCAGAGGCAAACACCCATCGGGCCACACGTTAGCTAGCCGCCTCGCATGTTGCAAAGAGAGGGCCTCACCTGTCACTCCCTTCCCCTGTTTTCTGTCGTACAGTCACCGAGAGGCCTAAAACTCCTGCCACTACGTCAAGTGGCCTCAATAACCCCTCGCGCCAACGCATAGATAGAGCCTCTCAAGCCGCTTGGCAATTAGTAGGGCCTCACCTGTCACCAAACAAGCATAATACTTTCGCCATCCGGCCTAGCTAGCCTGCCAGTACAATTTGGTGGTTCTATATACTAATTATTGTTTTATTTATAGTATGTCTCAGGAAGGGGTAGAGGATTTCTCCCTGCCTAGCACCCCGGCTAGAGCTGTCACTCCCACACAAGGAGGAGAGCTAGCTAGTCCAGCATCAATTAGATCCTGGACAATCCCGCGCATAACCACGGAATTAAGGAGACGACAAATCCCCTACCCCGCTACAGCAAGGAAGGCAGAACTTTTCAAACTGCTACGCACATCAACCAATAACATGGAAGCCGGGGAAGGATCTAGCCAGTCCAACCCAGGGGACATACATGCCATGTTATCCTCACTCATGGCATCCATGGGCAAGGTCAACTCCAGGCTGGAGAAACTTGAGTCGGTCACCACGGCCCTCACTCTAGCAGGGCCACCCGCGGCTGCGGTACAAACACCAGCCTTGCCATTAGTCGCTCCAGCCAGCCCCCTGGATGACCAGGAAGTTAGCCCGGCCCACATGATACCTGAGCATATCAAAAGGGATATCCTGGAAGGTAAAGACGTCAACCTGGCTTCCCTGTTGATTGCCTCCCAGGACATTGTGGAACATAAGACGTATGCTTATGATGATGTTTCTGTTATTGTCAGATCTAGGGATGCCCGCCTAAACAGAAAACTGACTATCCCTGAATTTGTTCTAGCATTTGGTATTTACAGGGATGTCGTCTGTGCGGTCTATCCCAACAGAAGAGAGGAGTTTGATCTCTATATGCACAAGCTGGTAGACCTGGGCAACAAATATGGTGGTTCAGCATTCTATGACTACCATAGGTCTTTTTCTGCAAAAGTGGCTGGAGCCTTCTCCCAGTACGGTACACGGTCCAACTGGGGAAGGATTGATACCGTCTTATTCTGCAGACACTTTGCAGGTCTAAGAACACCAGCTTGTGCATACTGCTCCTCCACAGCCCATACTACCAATTTTTGTCCAAACACGGCAGACGGACATGCCTCCACACAAGGAACTACTTCCTCTGGGGATCCAGGGAAACTATCCACAGACAAATTGGGACGCCCAATCAAGTTTCTGGGCAAGTCCCAGATATGTAATAATTTCAATGTTGGGTCTTGCAATTACAGTGGATGTAGACTATTGCATGTCTGTTCAAAATGTTTTAGGGCACATGCTAAGACCATGTGTCCAAATAAAATGTATTCTAAGCCTTACCTTACGTCCATTAATATGCCAGTATTCACAGCATTGATGTCTCAGCACCCATCTAGACACCTGGTAGATTTTCTTATTTCTGGTTTGACAGAAGGCTTCCACACAGGTATCCTACACATACCAGCTGGCACTCTGGAATGCCCAAACCTACAATCCGCCCAACACAACCCCACAGTGGTTGACACCCTCATAAACCAAGAAGTGGAGGAGGGCTTTGTATCGGGGCCTTTTAGAACTCCCCCATTCACAGCATGGCGCACCAACCCTATTGGTATTGTCACAGGGAAATCTTCCCAAAAACACAGACTCATCGTTGACTTATCGGCTCCCCACTCATCGGCCGACCCCAGTCTTAATTCCCTCATACCCTCTGAGGAATTCTCTCTGCAATACACCACCATAGATCACGCCATTACAGCCATCATACAAGCAGGGATGGGAGCCTGGCTCAGTAAGACCGACATTACTAACGCCTTCAAATTACTCCCTATCCACCCCACACTGTGGCACCTGCATGGCATCAAGTGGTCCGAGAACTACTATTTTTTCTCCCGGTTAACTTTTGGGTCCAAAAGTAGCCCAGCTATTTTCGACACATTTGCCGAAGCACTATGCTGGTTACTATTGAACATAGCCGGATGCCCTACAGTATTACATTATTTGGACGATTTCCTACTGGTCGAGGAGAATACTGCACCTCCCACTAGCCTCAAAGCTACCACTAAGCTGTTTGAGCAACTAGGTGTACCCATCTCCCCAAAGAAAACAAAAGGGCCAGACACGGTTATCACTTTTCTGGGTATCCAGTTAGACTCTGCCACAATGCAAGCAAGCCTACCTTACGAAAAGATAGACAATATTCTCACTTACATTAACAACTACCTACAGCTCGGCACTTGCAACCGCAAAGAACTACAGTCCCTGCTGGGGTCACTAAATTTTGCAATGCGCATCATACCTCAAGGCCGCTCCTTTATTTCACGACTATTGCATCTTTTCCCACTTTTTCTACATGACACGCACAGGTTGTCCTTAGATGCCCAAGCTACGGCAGATCTAAACATGTGGAAGAGGTTTTTAACCACTTGGAATGGTAAAAGTATGTTCCTCCCTCAATTGACTGAATCATCTCCTACCATTTGGTCAGATGCGGCATCTACCACTGGTTTTGCAGCAATTTTTGGGAACGAATGGCTTTGGGGCAGCTGGCCTTCAGCAGTTCTGGATTTGGAAGGTTTTTCCACTACCTCAGCTCTTTTTGAGATCTACCCCATAGTGGCGGCTGCCGTAGCGTGGGGTCATTTATGGGCTAATACGCCAGTGCGTTGTTACTCAGACAACCAGGCGACCTGTCACATCATCAACAAAGGTCGTTCCAAATCTCTTACGATCATGAGATTTCTGAGGAAACTCACTTGGTTGGCAGCTTGTCATAATTTCTTCCTATGTTGTTTTCATGTGCCAGGTGTATACAACACAGCTGCTGACAGTTTGTCTCGCTTTAAATTTCAGGAGTTTCATCAAGCACTCCCGTCAGCAGCACCCACAGCCACCATCACTCCAACATTTCAACAACTCATACTGGACTAGACGTCATCATGCAGCATAGCAGGACATTGTCTCAGTTGGCACTTTCACACAATACAAACAAAACATACAACAGGGCTTTCACACTATTCAAACGATTCCTTTTGGAACATGACATCATACAACCGTTTGTTATGACATCTTTTTTGGGGTTTGCTTCCTTTTGCCACCTTAAACTCAAATTGTCATATAACACCATCAAACTCTATCTCACTGGCATTCAACACCACATGCTCATCTTACACCCAAATAACAACAGTTTCATGGCCTCTCACCAAATCAAGACCATACTCAGAGGTATTCAAAAATCAGAACCCACACATTTGGCCCAGAGGCTACCCATAGATAACCATATCTTCAAAGCTTTATCTAATCTACTC